TTCTTCCTTGTTTTAAGTGAACAGTGCAAGTATTGCCGGTTGTTTGGAAACACAAGTGAAAATGACGATTTTGGTAAACGAGAATTGAAAACCTCTTAAAATACACTTGAAAATCTTCAAGGATTTAGGCTTATGATCGCTGTCCAGGCTTCGTGTCTCACAAATTTGAGGGAATCGCCATGAACGAATAGTGAATACTGTTTGTAAAATCAGACGAATCTAAACCATATTAAATTTTTTCTAAACTGATGAATCCTGGAGATGAGTTGCCTTAAAACTGCAACGTATACGTCAAATAAAACATATTTTTCCCTCGTGTTCAATGATAAATGATTCTCAAAAAAACTTACAAAACCTTTTCCAGAGTTTGCACATATTAACCTATGAATGTGATGGCCATATCTGGCTTCGAACCCTATAGTTATGTGCCGTTTATAGTGAGTGCATCTCCCTACTGGGCGGTCACGAAATTGTCAGCGACAGTGTCTGGGGATGTGGTGAGATTTGGCCTACAAAACAAACTTTGTCTGTCCAAGGCGTCAGGACAAACGTTGCAAATGGCATCCACGACTCAATTGCACAATTACTGTGCGTTTTTGTTGCGCAACACGGTGAAAGACTTTTGTGCAAAATATTGACAACCCACCCAACGTGCGGATCAACGAAATAGTCCTAAACAGCCTCCTTTGAGGGTCAGATTTCTTTTTATAGTTTGACTCTTCACTTGAACCCTTGAACTAAATTAATGAAGTTCTAGAGAGGCATGATAGCTGAGTGGACGGTGACAAACTACCATCAGAAAAAAAATCATGTACTTTATGTGACATCTCTGTCAGTTTCCCGAGGAATGAATCCTGGTCCTCAATAGATAGAATAATTTCAAGTGACCTGAAGGCGGTTAACCGAGCCCGTCCAAATCAACACGTCACTAATATGATGATGTTCATCCAGGGATCAAATGTGACGCAGTAATTTGGAAACGATGCTCCATACCAGCCAGTAGCTGTTGCAGAACAGCCTCTTCTGAGGGAATCGTACGCATTAACGGCTGGACTTAAGGCGAGTCGGCTGTCCTGGGATCGGTAAGATTGACAACCAATGTCACAACATGAAATAGCATGCCTGTGTTGCATTTATGTTCCTCAAACAAGAATGTATGTGGATCTGAATGAACCAATTACTCGGGTTGGACAATTCAACGATAGAAGGTATCGTGAACATATTTTTCGTGATGCCCTGAACAAAAAGTCCTGCATCTGGATTCAATAAGTATTTAAGGAATATGGAAGACATCGCATTCAGCATGTCGAATATCTGAACGATTACATCGGACGCGTCAGGTATGTGCCCTGCTAGCAGCACGAGAAACTGAAAACGTCAGTAAATGGAAGCACATCATAGAAAATGAGTTAGGAGACAAGGAATGCTTAAACAACAGTAACGCATGTGTTTCCAGGGCGAGAGCCAAAGTCAACTATGAAGAGCATTCGGATGTTCCTTCATACCTCATGTTGTTATACTCAATACGCAATCTGTGTGAAGCAGGATGCTACGAGAATCAGAAGGTCGAATGGTGACTGTGTTTCATTATTCTGATCAGTCAGTGCGGCCTTCAAGAAGAGTAAGAGGGGACGCACAATGAATGAACCTGATGCATTGGGTTGATCTTGCGTTAGAATCAATAGATTTGAAGTAATTCCTACTGATACATGGATACCGAGTGATATCGTTCCAAAATAACACATATTTTGGAGTGCAAAATAAGGGAGGGAGGCAACACATCGGAGCGAGAATACCAACGTTTCCATATCTTTACCTGTGTTTATGGTAAACAAAAAGATATGCTGCACATTATTCAAAGATTATCATATGATCGATATAGTCCTTTTAGGAATGATGTGTGGTATATATTATACACATCTGAGTTAGGTCCATAATAACGTAGTGTAACGCCAATTTAAGCGTGGTTGGTTGATCACGTTTTAATTTCAGGAATCTCGAGGTTTGTTCAGGGCTACCTGTGTACTACAATTATTCTATAAAAACAAAACGTTCAAAATTTACATTGGGATACAGTTTCTTGAAGAAGAAGAAGATCTAGAAGATCTAATTGGGAATAACAAAGGTTAATTATAACTGGTTTTTAGGTTTCCCCGGAGCGGCTGTCTCATGGTAATCATCTTAAATCCTTATTCTGACCTCAGTCTGCGGAAACAACCTGAAGTTGATTATGATACAAAACGCTTTACGAGATTGCCCAGAACTGATCTGTTGGTTGACTGCCAAAAAACGAGGGAATGAAAAGAATATATTGCCTTATTCAGATCAGCAATTTTTACAGCCACGTGTGCAAAATGAAAAAAGAACCTGGGATATAGCAAATTATGTTCACCGTCTCATACTCTATTATCCGAATTCGAAGATCCCATTTTGCAATTGCTCCATGCCGACCATCATGATATAATTTGATTTGATTTCAATGAATTCGTTATTCATTATTCTTACAGCATTTTATTTCACGGAAATCATTCAGTTCAATAGTCACACAACATCAATAGTGATTACATGATGAAACCTTCATATGTATTTGATTGAAGCCANTGGGACTGTCTGACTGGTAAATTATAAATACGATGCATAATAAAGTTATTTGACTTTTTTCTATATATTGAACATAAAAATGTACAGTCAACATTCCGGAAGGAAGACCGCGGCCATACAAAGACTGCCTGGGCAGACGGGCGGTGATGGAAGATTTCGAACCCGGGACTAACAGGTCACAATTTAGTGACCTGACCACTTGGCCACCACCGCCCTCTAATAAGAAAGGATTTTCTAAATTCATAAAACATTTTGTCCATAATCGTTACGTTGATACACCTAAGTTGAGTCAGTTGAAATTTTTATTCCGGCTACTGTACCCGGAATAAAACTTTCCAGGTATAGTACCGACGAAGTGATTAAAATGGAGATTTGAAACACACAAATCCAGTTTGTTGAATGGTTGAAAATTGTAAGTAAATAGGGTGTAAATTCCCTACATCGACATACCGAAAGAAAGTTTTTGATGCGATAAATTCTAGCAAGGAGGTTCTTTGAAAATCGGTTATGGGTAGATAACCAAATTCTGGACAAGGAAGTGTTTAGATTTACTCTCAAATAACTTTATGACACATCTGGAACTGATGACGTTACTGAAATTCCCGCAAACCACACTGGAGGAGTTGGAAACATTACAAAAGTTCTGGGAACCATGCTTCGGATGACAGAATAACTTGTAACGTATCCGATAACAAGTCGAGAATGTTTCAAGCCTATCAGCCATCTCATCATACCTTAGGTCATTTTTTTTCAATTTCCACTGGAACCATTTGCCAACGGCTATACAAACGCTTCACAACTAGAATACATTGCAGTGATTTTGAATGCAGTTCTTCACAATTTTGATGTAACAACAGAAGCACTTAGAGTGCAAGTGTTCCTAAGGAAAAACTACCACCTGTGGTGACTTTATGATCACTAAATTATATAGATGTCTCATGATTTGGAACAATTATATTTCAGCACGATTGTGCCAACAGAATGTCGCTGTTGGTCGGGAAAATACGATCAAATAATGTTTTCAGATGGGTTAATACGGGATAAACCTAAGCAGATGTATAAGACATTAGTCTTAGGCTTATGTGCGCCGAAAATACGTTTCACGATTAACTACATTTTATGTTCGATCCGTAGTCTGTCCGCACGATTTCTGTTTTCAGTGAGGGACAACACCGACGCACAAATTGCAATCCTTCAGTGTGGCGACATCCGGAGTGTTTATTTCAGTTGTCTTTTTAGATCTTATGATAGTGGAAAGAACGTACGTGTCACCTTCGATGTTGATTTTGTATGAAATGTGTCAATCCTGCGATTATCTTGACATCACTGTGTGCTAAGCATTCACTTAGGTAATACACGTTTGAACACAAACAAACACAGCCAAAGCATCTTTCTTTTTGATATAGAGAATCGGCAAATCAGTGATAGCAGAGTTGCACATTAATTTATTCGTAGGGTAATTCAAATCGATTACAAGTGAATAATACAGTATACCATGAAAAGACACGAACAACTCAGTTGATTCCAGAGATCTTTCCTATTCCTCA